TTATAACCCAACAAACAAAAGCACACGTTAGTTAGATTATAGTTAATGAAGAAATATGACATGTGCAAGGAAAATTAAAGGTAAAACTTGCGAAACATGAAAAAATAATGGGAATTGAAATTCAAATTTCATGCCTTAAAAAATTAGAAGTGAAACAGATTGCTCACTTCAATTTTCAAAAGGTTTTACATGAGAAAATTCTACCTTTGCTCGCTCTCGTTTGTCCGTCTAGCAAGAGAGGGAAGGCCTGTAATCGCGAAAATCGCAGCGAAAGTGAATGGGAAGCACCGTGGATTGAAATTTAGAGGGCTGCAATAGGAGGTTTTGAGAGTAAAAAAAAAAACTGTTCGTCTGCTTCTTTAAAAAAAATAAGAAAAAAAAAATTAATATCATGTTTAATAACTGTTAAGTAACAGTGTTAGTAATAAGCCCTAATTTAAGAGTTAAAAGATAAATATGAACCCTCAATTAAGAATATATAAAATTTGAGATCTTGTATTGAAAAAGATATAAATTGAGGCCTTAATATGATAGAATACTTAAAAGTTGAGCCCTATACTAGAATTTTCCCTTGATAAAATACAGTACAAGTTGGTCGAGCACAACTTCAGTTAATATTGAAAAAAATATTATGTAGTTTTTATGAAACTGAGTATTTAAAATTCTAACTCGGTGTATTTTTAATTTTTGGATCGGACTCTAGTCATAGTTTAATGAGACATCTTCAAGGGTATTTGACGATGGCACGACCATAATTCATAAGTATTGAGAAAAGTAATCTTATCTAGAGTCCATCCTACAATCATTCATAGTGTTAAAAAGTAATCATCTTATTAAAAATAATAATCTTATGCATTTATGAATGGTTGTTTAATCATGACATCGGTTATGTGCACAAGGATTTCAAAATTTGAAAATGACTTGTTGTTTGTTTTGGTTTAGGCTGATTTGCATGCTCCACTTTTTTTATTTTGGTTTAGGCTTTTGTGACCCTCGTAAATGATTACCTAATCAGGCGTAATTTCATTAATCTTGTTCAAGAAAATTAACATACATACATACACTATTAAAAAAATTAAAAATAAAATAAAAGGGTGATACTACGTCCCGTTACGGAACTATTCTATCGGAGTTTGTAACCGTTAGATCAACTATCCATGACGGTTACATTATGATCTAACGGTTACAAACTCCTACGAAATGGTTCCGTGTAACGGGGATAGTAGCATTTACCTAAAATAAAATCAAAAAATATAGATAGAAAATTATTTTTCCAAATCCTCTATAAACAGGCTATTGGGCCGTATACTCACGCGCCTCCATGGCCGTGTGCCTCCATATTACCCGTATAACAAACAGTTTGGTGGTGGCTCCACCGTCATTAAAACCTCTCTACCACCATAGCTCACTCTCTCCTTCTCTCTCATCTCTCTGTCTCTCTAAAACCTCGCCTTTTGTTTTTCCTTTCTTTTGCTTTCCCAAGATCCATTTCTCGTACTTCTTCACGTTTCGTCCATTTTTCAACCTTTGTTTTTTTTCTGGAAGTTTTGCTCTAGATCCCAGCCGCACTTCGTGGATCTACAAATTGTTCGCTGTATTTTCCGGCATTGCTGTTTCTTGAGCTGGGATTTGGTACTTTGTATGCTCAGTACTGCCTGCAGTTGATTTGCGGCTCTGCGGAGAAGTGAATGGGAGCTTATGTGGGCGGGAAGATCTTCGCCGGAACCCTAGACTGCCACGGCGAGCTCCCAGCTGTGGTGTTTGGGTGTGAGGGAAAATGTATGTGAATTGCATTCTGGAGAGAGAAGATGCTCCTTTTTCTTCTTCCTCTGCTCGCTCTATTTCCTACTAATTTCGGTAATTGCTGCTCCTCCTTCCTTTTTCCCAACAATGTCAATGGAATATGTTTTTAACCTTTTTGTTGCCTTTTGACTTAGTTAGCCCACAACTGGCTTTTCCCTTTACTGGTTACTGAATTGACCTTTTTTTCTCAAGTGGGCGGCTTGAAAATTGTTAGTTTGAGGTAAAATTTTGGATGTGAGATGATGAGGTGCTTAATGTGACGGTTGTTATTCAAACCCTTCATGCAGTGTGTCGTCTTTCAGCTAACCGGGTCATGAAATTATGTTTGTTGCATGAAGGGAGAGAATTTCAGCATCTATGTATCTATATATTAACTTTTAGATGATGAGATGAAACCCTTATAAAGTGTACATGATTTCCTTTTCTGATAGCCTCGTTTGGAAAATATTGATGGCTTATTAATATGTTGTAAATTTATTGCTCGGACTGTGTAACGATCCCTTTCAATCTCCAATGCAATCTATGATAGTAGCTTTTGCTAGTAGAAGTTGATTTACTATGTTTGGCAAACTTATTGTTGATGTGCTTTTGTATGTCAGGGACTCCTTCGCAGGCCATCCACTTATCTCCTCACTCACCCCTTCAACCATTTGGGACGGAAAATGCTCTTAAACATGGTACATAACAAGGCAATAAGTATCTGTTTGTTGGGAAGTCATTTCTGACTTCTGTAGTGTATCCTTATCCGGCACTAAACCTCTTTCTCTCTCTCTCTCTCTCACTCTCTTGTCATGTTTGACTGGATTGTAGTTATGTAGGTAAATTGATCCTCATTGAGTGTGGTGAATAATTAATTGATGTGGATCTGTTTATATTTCTTCCTTGTGGACTACATCATCTTATGATGGTCTTTGGGAGTATAGACGAATGGTACTAATATAAAATGTTATTGCTCCTTCATTTGAGTGCAGGATCGATTAATGAACTGTTTAGTTCATTTCTGACTGCCCGAAGGCACCGTAACAAAATTTTGTCAGCTGCCCCAGCTCCATCTCCATTGTCACAAGGTAATGATGATGTTTGCCACATTTGAGTTCTAATAGAATTATATCAGCATTTTATCTGATAATCTGCTTGTGGAATTCTATCGTAGGCCCCGTTACTAGTCGTACTGGTAATAGGGGTAGGCATCACCATCATCGGCCTAGAACTAGAGTTATGGTGCTTCCTCCTTCTCCTTCTGCTAGTCCAGGTAAAAGGTTTGCTTAACGATTTTATTTTCCCATCTAACTATCCTGTGATGTTTACATTCAATTTTAGTAGTCCAGTTTTCTCATATGAAGGGGTAAGAAATGAACCATTGAGTATCCATGCATGAAATGTCCTTCCAATGTGAAATATTCTCTTGCTGCATATAGATAATGAAACCATTTAATGTGGTTTTGTTATGGGAATTAATTCGTATCTAGGTGCAAGTATGTCTGCTCAACTACTAAGATAATGTTATGTGTGGGTTAATACAATAATTTACTTTAAGTTGTTGTTGTTCTTTATCATCAAAGCATGCTTTGATGCTATAAGAGGCAAACTCTTACATGCGTAAATTAAACCTATTAGATCCTGGGAGATCTATTTTATTATTTGCTAAAACCTACTTATGTAATTCTGATGATTAGTATTTGGTTCCAAAAGTCATCTCTACTTGAACTGTTTTGTGTCTCTACTCTCTAGACATGCTGAGAGATTCTACAGAAGGTATTGTAGTATTTGATCAAGTGGATTTAATGTGAACCATGCATTTGCTATTTAACTATAACTGTTACTGGATGCCCTCAAACAATCGTGTTATTTAGCTCATTTGCCTTTAAGAAAGTTTCTTCTGTCAATGACTGAATAGTGAAGATTAATGCATCCAAGGTATTAAACAGTAATGCTCCCATACCCACGGTAGACACATGTTAATATGCCCACCGCTTATGTGGCGTGCACTCACTGGTGATGTTTATATGTTCAAAAAAATATATCACCAATGTTTGCATGCCACATAAGCGGTGGGCATATTAACATGTTCCCACCATGGGTAGGGGAGCATTAGTGATGTATTAAAATCTTCATTGGTTCTGTTCCTGTTATGGTGATGGTCTAATATTGTCACGCCATTAGAAATTTTTTTAGCATTCAAATTTCAAGAATTTCTCAAGAATAAGCCTAATGAAAGAAAGAGCAACAGACCTGGATACTCAGAAAACAGACTCCAGCATGAATACATGGTAAAAGAGGTAAATCTTTAGTCATGTTCAAGATTAATCATGCTACTTGAACGCGAAAGGACTGGAAGTCTCAAGGTAAAGTGAAATTCTGAAAACTTCACATCAACAGTTTGTTTGATGGTTATTCTTCCTGTAGCGGGATTGCTATTTAATTGTCATGCCTGCTAAATGTGGAACTTGAATATTAGCTGCTCTTCAGGTCGCACTGGTATAGTTATGTGAACTAGTTTAGGTAGTTGGCTTTCAAGGATAAGTTTCTCCGTATTTGTGACTGCCACTTTCTGCCGAACATTTCATTGGCATATGCAATGAACAAATCTGCACCTTTTGCACTTAATTTTATCACTATGATTAGTTTCTGTTTCATTACATGGAGAGGTGTTTAATAGAAGAATCTAGCAGGTTGTAGTCAAAGTTGCGCGGAGCCACTAACATCAGCCCCATTTGGTTCACCCTGTATGTGTGTGATCCCAATGAGAGTCAAACTTCTTTTGGGGGTACCTCTCTATGCTATCTTCCCAGAGGTCACCGAATTAGAGATTGAGGTTGCAGCCGGTACATATCTTAAACAAAGTCAAGTAGCAATCATTGGAGCTAGTGCGGATACTCAAAATCAGGAAAGAGCAGTGGTAGATATATATTTAGTTCCTCTTGGGGAGAAGTTTGATGATACAACTGCTATCCTGACTTATGAAAGATTTTTACGCAAGAAAGTGCCCCTAAATAGGACCCTTTTCGGTGATTATGGTGTAATGAACATTTCTTATCCAGGTAAACTTATATTGCTAAAATAAATTTTACCTCTTATCTGGTTCTATTGCAAATACTGAAAGTTGTTTCTGCAGGACTCCCGTCTTCAACCCCATTCGGTGAGGGTCCTACTGCTGGAAATCAACAATACCCTATTAGTGCAGACTTTGTTCGAAAAAATCAGAAGATAAACCCTCGAATAATTGTGGTCATTGTTTTGTCTGCATTTGTGCTCTTGGTGGTTGCTTGTGCTGCTGTAGCTATGCTATTAAAGTGCAGGACTGCACGCAAACCATCTAATGCTGTTGGCCCAGTATTCACTTCTTCTATGCACAAAAGATCAGGTATTCATGTAGGCAGGTTTTGTTTGTACTTTTCTCTACAAGATTAAGTAGTTCATCTGGAGCTGGAACCTTCTCTCATGCTAACTATTATTGTTGAAACTTCTGCTCAACATTGATTGCTCTTTGTTATTATTATCGTGCCTATTTTTTTTTATTTATTTTTTATTTTTTTTTTGGGTGGGTGTGCAATACAGGATTTGGTTCTATGCGGTCGAGTAGCCCTACCACCTCGACATCACCTTCTCTCATATCCGCCATGCCCGCTTCTGTTCTTTCTGTGAAGACATTTTCACTGGCAGAACTTGAGAAAGCCACAGAAAGGTTTAGCAAGAATAAGGTTTTGGGCGAAGGAGGATTCGGGCGGGTTTATCATGGGTTGATGCCAGATGGCACCGAGGTGGCAGTCAAATTACTGACCAGAGACAACCAAAACGGAGACCGTGAATTCATTGCTGAGATCGAGATGCTGAGCCGTCTGCATCATCGTAACCTCGTGAAGCTCATTGGCATATGCATCGAGCAAAAGACACGCTGCTTGGTCTATGAGCTGGTCCCAAACGGCAGTGTGGAGTCCCACTTGCACGGTATGCATAATGTTATCCTTATTAAATGTTACTTATTGCAAAAAATTGCGTGCATATTCCAGTTTTGAAAATGTGCTGGTTTGATGTCATTAGGTGACGACAGAAGCAAGGGGCCTCTGGATTGGGATGCACGTCTGAAAATTGCTCTTGGTGCGGCGAGAGGATTGGCTTACCTTCACGAGGATTCCAATCCTCGTGTGATTCACAGAGATTTTAAAGCTAGTAATGTATTACTTGAAGATGACTTCACTCCTAAGGTCTCAGATTTTGGTCTGGCACGGGAAGCTACTGAGGGGAGTCATCACATATCTACTCGGGTCATGGGCACATTTGGGTATTTTTTTTTACCTACAAGATGAATGCAAACTTATCTGACTTCCCTATGAACCCAATCTAAAAATTGGGAAAGAAATGCAGAAAAGGTTGATTAACTAGGAAGCAAAAAATGTAACTGAAAATT